ACTTCGGTTCTACGGTAGATATTAAATCCGTTGGTTTCACTTCGAGTGCGATTACTTCTGCACCGACTATATGTATATTTTCGGTCAAGTTACCCACGGCCGTTTGGGTTATCATATCCGTTTTAGGCACTTCTTCCAATGGGCTTTGCAGGTCTGGTTGTGTACCAATCAAGCTGCGTTGTACTATTAAATTTTCCAGCGCCTTGCTCTTGTCCGGCAACTTCTGTGCTTTGAGCTCTAGTACCGTTTCAGCCGTTTCGCTTTGTGTTACTTCAAGTGGCACAGTTTCTGCAGTAACCTCCACGTTTGCCGTCGACTTGAGCGGTGATTTGACTTTATCAAATACATCCTCTTTGTCGACTGTTTTCTCTTCTTTCTCTACATATGCTAGATGTTCGGCAAATGTCGGCACTGCATCCTCTTGTTTTATATGTGGCGTGTCGTAGGCTGCCGTTGTATCCAGCGGCTGTAATTCCACCACTTCAACGCTTGTCTCAGCCATCACAACACCGATTGGTATCTGTTTCTCAGCAACTTTCTCTTTAATAACATCCTTTTTAGTAGTCTCGCTACTTACTAATTGCTCCACTATGACACTCTTATGTGGCACATAATCTGTTGTGGCCTTTTCAGCCGGTTTTTTGCGCAGTACGTCCGCGGGCAAATCACCTACCGCATCAGCGGTTGTCAACTCCAAATGTTGTTGGGAAATATGTGGCACTATAGTGGGCATAGCATGTTCTTCTGGCACTTTGGCGCCTTGCATATCATCGACTGTGTCTTCTACTAGTGGCTTCTCCACCAATACAGTTTCGCTTTCGTCCACAGTCGGTTGCGCTTGCGCCGCTTTCGGTTTTCTTTCGCTTACGAGCTCAACTGCGTTTTGCTTCGTCTCCATTTCAGTTACTGCGGCGGCACGACGCGTGACTTCCGTTATGGTTTCGTGCAATTTTTCACTTGGTCGCCGACGTTGCGGCTTTAGACCTTCTTCCACTTCGAGCATACTCGATTCCTCTTGCAATGCCACAGTCTTGACGGGGGTGATATCGGCATGCGCCACTTTCGGCTCGGGCCGTTCTGTGGACACCTGTAAAACTTGTGTTAGCGCTGTTGTTTCGATAGTCTCTTGTGGTAGTGTTTGAATCTGTATGGTTTCGAATGGTATGTCTTCGGGTTGTATGCTCGTAACTGTGTCGGTGGTGTAGAAATCTTCGAGCATTTGATATGATTGTAAGTCTTTATGAATACGAGTTTCTTTTTGTTCTTCTTGCATTTCTAGAATGTCTTGTATTTCTTGAGCTGTTTGTTGTTGTTGTGATACTTTCTTTTTCTTCTTTTTAACGTTTCCGCTTTTAATAAGAATTTCTTCTTCCGCTTGGAGTTGTTGTTGCTGTTGTATGATAACTGTTTGTTCATGTTGTTCTTGTTGTACTAGTAGTTGTTGTTGCACTTGTTGTTGTTGTATGATTTTCTCATCCACATGTGTGGCTATCAAAGGTGCTGTTGTTTCTGCGAATGCGAATGTAAGTAAGTAAAAAACTTGTCGTGCTCATGAGAGAATGATGGTTATGTTCATATGTACATATGTATGTATGTCAGTAAGAATGTAGTTGCTTTGTGAGTAGTGGTGGCCCGCTATACGCTGTGGCATGGGTTATGGTGTCAGTAGTTTGGTTTTAGAAAACTTGCAGATTTTGTTACGAGTTGTGTTCCAAAGTCTTCTTCGGTGTGTGGTTATGTCATGGCAGTAGTATTAATATGTACATTTATTTTAGGAAAAAAAAGCAGACTCCTTAACGGCTAATTTGTCGGATATTTTAGTAAAATAAATTAAAGTTTATAGAAAATTCAGATTTCAACTCTTAAGGTTTCATAAAAAACATGGGTATTGTGTGATTGTTTTGTAATGCAATGTTTGTTTGCAAAACTCTTTCCCTAAAGCTTTAAGATTTGTATTGAAAAGTTTCGGTAAGGGCTTATGACATCTCGGCAGTTTTTGTTTAGAGTGTGATTAGTCTCTTTATAAGAGCACTTGAAGCTTCTCAACTAAGATTTTTGTGGTGGAGAGTGTGAAATCGACTTAAAATTACTCCTGCGTGTAAGGATTCTGAATCTAAATAACTGAAATCAAGTTTCGAAAGTGGCTGGCTTTTTATATCATACTGCTACTTAAGAAACTAATGGTGAGCTCTGTGCAAGAGAGTTAAGCTTATCCGTCTCTTAATTTGTAACAGCTTTATCACATTTTAATACCTTTTAGGTGTTATGAAATGGCAAAAGGCATAGTTCGATCTTGTTTGATATATTTCGATAGATTGGAGATTTCTTCAGTGAACCTCACATACATTTTCGTAATCAGGTTGCTAAGTTTTGTTGGCTCGAAGATTTTCTTTATCTGGATACAGTAAATAGTTCTTGATTTCAGTCGAACCAAAAAAGAAAACCACTTGTTTCATCCTCTGATGGGGCTAAAGTACATTTGCTCCGCGCATCTTGGGAAACGCCACATGACCTACGGACTTTTTACCCTTGTGCTCAACACGGACCTTGCTTTGGACTATTAGTTGGAACCGGTTTCAAACATTCTGGTGGCCGAGGTATTCTTTAAAATGAGTTTGCGTGGGTGACAGCAGACTGAAATTTTTGACGGATGAATACCAAGACGGTCTCCGTTCCGTTAAAACCCAAGCAGGCCTCAGAGTACGTTCTCCATCTGTAAGTTGAGATAACGCCTTATTTTGCGCCGGATGGCTCTGAACACACTGTTTCATAAGGCCGTGCTTCAACACTCGCCTTAGTCTCGAAACTGAGATAACTTTGGCATCTTATAACGCTACTAGGGAACGTTTAGTCGTATGAACTGATTTTTTCATTTTAAACTGATTCTGATTGTATTTTTGCTTTTGACCAGCCTAACCTCACTATTAACATGACAAACCCGAAATAGATTTTAATTAAAAAAAAAAAAAAAATTTTTTTCTGATAATGTGCCAACATTGCCGCAAGGAATCTTCATTTTTAACCATAACCTATAAATTATCTTTGTTGTTACAAACAATAAAAGCTGTGAGTTCTGTATAGATCTAGGCTCATACATATACAATGTTCTCTTGGGATACGACATACAATATAAATACAAATAGTATTTTTAGATATAAATGAAAGTATAAATTTTCTGTTTTCTCTCGTTTTTTTGATTTTTTACAGACAAACAATTTCGCTTACACATTTACATACACATCTCCTACTCATATTTAACCAAGTGCTTACCTTATTACTTACATACGTTTGCTTTGTTGTTGTTGTACGTGGTTTGTGCTGTACCTGTCTCTTATACACATCTAGATGTGTATAAGAGACAGTTTACATACACATCTCCTACTCATATTTAACCAAGTGCTTACCTTATTACTTACATACGTTTGCTTTGTTGTTGTTGTACGTGGTTTGTGCTGTACTGTGTTCATAGCTTAGAAAATGAAGCTTAAGGATTAAAAGCAGGTGCATAAAAGTGGCTTTAAAAGTACTTAATATGGAAAATTAATATTGGTAAAATAGCAGAAATTAGTAAAATATTTAAATATACATAGTTTGAAAGCATAAAATAATATAGTAGAAAAGTGTTAAAAGCTAAAAAAAAAAAATGCTATAGAAAATTAAATGGCAGCAGCGAAGCTTATATGATAACAGCGCGGCGGTGAGGGCTTGCAGTGCGAGCGGAAAAGAGTAGAGCAAATGGCTTAGGGCGTAGGGCGTTCACACATTACGCTTACAATTTGCCTGAGACGCAGCTTTCCAAAGCGAGTTTGTAGTTACTGCGCTTGTAAACATATGGCATAGTTGTTATTATTGTTTTCGTGCTTTTTTTGTTTTTTTTTAAGTTCATAGTAGGACAGTTGGTAGCAAAATTAGTAGTAATAGAGAATAGCAATAGTAGTATTTGGTATTAGCATTAGCACACTAGTTGTACGGCTGACGGGCGGCAGTAGTAGTAGTGGTGGTGGTGGTGGTGGTGTTAAGTAGTGACGTCAGTGGGGAGAATTTTGCAAATTTTTGAGAAATCACTGCGAAAAGATAACTTTCGAATTTGCGTTGATTAATATTATTGTTGTTTTTATTGTTAAAACAAATTGCTATTAATTGTATTATTACGTTTTCTTCATATAAGTATTTATTAATGCTAAATTATTATATATGTAATTGGCATAATTTTGGGTTGTTTTGATTATTAATATTTTTTTTTATTTTTACAATTTTTTAAACATTAAATTTTAATCAATATTTAGTTTTTGGTGGAGACACTGGTGGAGTTTGGTGGCCTGCTTTGGTTACTACAGTTTTCTATTTATTTTTTAATTTAAATTTTTTTTACATAAATTTTTTTTTTGGGAATTCTACAATTCTTCAATTTCTACAGTTTCTACAGTTTCTATATTCAAACCTTCTTCGACGACTACTGTGCGCTCCTCGACGAATGTTTCCTCTGTTAATTTGACATTTGGTTTTGGTTTTGGTTGCGATTGGCATTTGGCATTGGTGAGACAAGCGGCAAGCAAGCGATTTTTGGAAGCGAATTTCATTGCGCATACGTAATAAAAATATAAAAAAACAACAAAGAAAATTTGCATTTCCATTAAAGCTCTTTACAAGTCTTAACTCTAAGGCAAAAGTATTTATTTTGCTTTTTAATATTATTTTTTTTTTAACTTTTGCTAGCTCTCGCTTACCGTATTTTATATGTGTTATGGCCTCGTGACTCTCAATTACTTGCGACGTTTCAATTGTCCTCTAAATGTGCGTGTGCGAATGTGTTAGAAGTGTTAGGCGGAAAAAGAAGATTTACACATTTATATACATAAATATATACAAATAATGCATTTTTATATTATTAAGTAAATAGGAGTAAGCTTAAGTAATAATTAGAAGAAAATAAAAAATAATTAATTTTGCTAATATCTTTGAAACTTTGCACTCTAAAATCCTCAATTCTCTCTTTTCATTGCAGAGTTTCCGAATGTCATACCCAAAACTTTCGGTGAGTACTTAAAATTGCTATCTTTTCATAGCTAACCTAAAAATAATTTTATAATAAGTTATAAAATATATAAAAATTGAAATATAAAGGAAAAATATTTATTTCGGCAATACCGCAACTATAATATCCTACACAGCTACAGCTCTTGATCTTAAGTTTGATCAAGCAGTTTTTATGGCAGCTATATGTTATAGTGGCCCGATCTGAACAATTTATTTGAGGTGTCAAATTTCATGAATATATCTTGTGAAGTAAAAAATACAAGCTTTATTTTGATCGCTCAGTTTGTATGAAAGCTATATGCTATCGTGGTTCGATCTGTTGTTCTGGAGAATAATCCGTGTCGAATTTCGTAAAGATAGCTTGTCAAGCAAAAAAGTTTTTCATACAAGGACTTGTGTTTGACCAAGTAATTTGTATGACAGCTATATGTTATAGTGACCCAATTTGAAGAATTTATTTTAATATTGCAGCGTTGCTCTGGAAAATAATCTGTGCCAAATTTTATGAAAATATCTTGTCAAGTAAAAAAGTTTTTCATACAAGGACTTCAGTTCGATCGTTCAGTTTGTATGAAAGCTATATGCTATATTGGTTCAATGTGAACAATTCATTCAGAGATTCTAGGGTTATCAATGGTAATAATGTGTCAAAAATTTCGTTAAGATATCTTAACAAATAAAAAAGTTTTCCTTAGAAATACTTGATTTTCATCGTTCCATTTGTATTGCAGCTATATTCTATAGTGGTTCGATCTGAACAATTTTTTCGAAAATTGTAGCGTTGCCTTGGAAATTAATCTATGCTAATTTTCGTCTATATTTCTTTTCAAATAAAAATGTTTTCCTATATGAAACCAAACTAAACCAAACTAAAAACCTTGTTAGTCGAATATCCTATATAAAAGTACTAACCTCCTAAATTTGAAATCTGTATACTATATTAATGCAAACAAAAAGCAACAAAGTCAAACATAAACACAGGCAAAGCATGGCAAACCTCTTTTGCGGATATCGTCCAGTCTTGCGATATAAAGTCTTCCCTTACAAAGCGCCTAATCACTGTCTCAATTGTTATTTCGCACGTCTCGATCATGCGTATGAATGCCTTAAAGCCCACAGTAGCGGCCAGCACGGTCTCATCCTCGGTCGTTGATTCACCCAGTATTTGTGTGATCAACTCTTCGTGACCTTCGCGTTCGACCAATTGCACCAGCGCCGCTTGCGATTCAGCCTTTTGCAAGGAAATGAAAATATTCTGCTCATACATATAAATAATCTCATAGGTTGTACAACCGTAGCGCAACAACAGTCCAATACTGGCTAAATCACGCAACGCGGCCTCCCCGGTCGAACCAAAGGAGCTGGCATCGATAGTTTCGAGCAATTCATTGACCTCCTCGTGTTGCCGTATCACCAGTAGATCTTCAACTGTTATAATCTTCTGTGAGATCTTTTGACGTATCGTTTGTACGGTTTCGGTGATCTCAATCGTTTTGGTTGTCTTTGTTGTCGTTGTAGTTGTTGTTGTTATAGTTTTACTCTCTTGTTGTGTGGCCAACAATTCCGCGTCAGCGATTTTACGATCTTTCACTTCCATCACTTCCGAAACGCCACTCTCTTCCACCAATAGCGAAATAGGTCGCTGCACCTTTACTACATTTACGGTGGTCTCCACGTCACTATCATCAGTGGGTACAATTGTTATTTCAGTTTTATGCAATTTTTGCTGTTGCTCACTGGACTTTTTGGCAGTCGATTTCTTCACAACTGTCTTCTTTTTACTCTTCACTTTCTGTTCGGTTTCGGTTTCGGTGATTGTTGTTGCCGCTGTGGCTAGATCGAATTTGCCACGCGACATGGTCATGCCGATCTCATTGATCAATTTGCATGTGTAGAAACCGATATCCTCGTACGTGACATTGAGTATTTCTAAAGAGGCTATGGTCTCTTCGACGCGCAAGCGATATTTGTTAGATTCTCTAAGCTGTACATTGTTAAAATACCATTGTATATCTAATGCAATTAGAAAAAGTAAATATATTCGTTAGTGCTCCTAAGATTAGCTGCTGGCATTCTATGTTATTTCCATATTTTCTATGTCCATTTATTGCATGTGGCAATACTGTACCTGGTTTGGGGTTTCCGGCAAATTGTATTTCGAATTTGGCAATTTCGCCGGTGGCTGCACGGCAATCACGCAATTCGTTTACTATCGATGGCGAGCATTTAGCAGCTACAAGCAAAAAGAATTGCAAGTTTCATAGTTTTTAGTTAAAGCTAAGCTAATATACAGCGTTCACATACAACTAAAAGGAAAAGTTGGAGCGGAAGTGGTATACTGAATGTGGAATGCGAAATAGTTTAGGTTGTTACTCTAAGACATCAGGATTGGGGCCATAGTTGTTCTTTATAGTTACTTGAATAGTATGTAATGTTTTTGAAAGAGGTTGCTGGAAAGTATGTACACAAATCTAAGAATATTAGGATTCTACACAAGCCTGACCACTCTCTTGAACTACGGGTAGGAGCTTTAGTTTCAAGAATACGACAAAATGCAATAAAGTGATTTCGTTAGAGATGCTGAAATATTAACACTTTTTGATAATGGATTTTTTTACTTAACTAACATAATACTATATAGCTGGGCTTGGTCAGCGCTGGACCACCATCGGTACATGCGATGTCACAAAAGCCTTTTGGCCTAAGATCTATCGCAAGAGATATAGTAATCTCATTGCCTCTCTCTGTATTTTTGGGGCTTTTAACGGGCCTTTGCCTTATTGGTGTCCACGCAGTAAGGCTGGGAATCCTATCAGACACCATTTGGAGGTCAAGACTTATGCACTTGAGAGCGCATACATTCAGACATTACACCGATCTGGCGGGAATGGAAATTAAAACCCAGTGAAAATTTGCAGTGGCTACTAAGTTCTCCTTTTTTATGGCCACACAAAGGATTACATATAGTAGTTCATGTGCGGTCTTTGATCAGCCATCTAACCTAACATAAGGCTTTATGTTTGTTCATATAGTATTGCAACCATAGTATTTTGGGTTATTACCAGGTATACCCTGTCATAAATAACATAGCTCTTTTGGAATTACGTTTCTTATCCAATAAGTACGTTATAGGCATAAGAAAATTAATATTGATCGTTTTCATTGAGTTACATATTTTTCGAAAACATATTTCTTGAAAAAAGCAAATCAATGTTTAATGTAAGGATCGAACCAATACAGTTGTTTTAGACAAAATTTGAAGTTGATGTAAGATTTGAGAATTTTGTAATATTAGATTACTTTTACTTTTCATACTAAAAGGCCAAACTACGACTTTAGCAATTAAACTGCTGGAAAGGTATTGAAGTTTGCCTTTATATGGAAAGAATGATTGATTTGGGACAATATTAAAAATTTCGTTTACTCATTGATGAAGTAAGATTTAGGTATGTTCTCTTTAAGATCTAAGTTTTAGTAAGCCTGCATAGTATTATATATTTTTTTATATAATTTATTTGACTAAGTGTAAAAGCGTAAATCTGCAAAAGGTTTCCAAAATTATGCGCTGCGTACTGTGTTATTGTAGTATTTGTCTCCTTTTATAAAAAAATTTTATAACAAGTTGTTGGTATTTAGTTTTTAAATATCCTTATGTTCGAGGGTACTTACATATGACGTGTGGCAAGGCTTCAGTGTTCTGTAAGTTTCTTTAAGATTACATTTTTATAAATATTGGAGAAAATGTTTGTCTGTTTTCAAAAAAAAAATAGAATGGGGTTCACCTTTCTGTATGAGAATATATTGTATTTGTATGTAATTATGTGAAGTGAAGCAAAATAGATGCTGAAGACGTTAGTGACAATAACGAAACAATATGTATAACTGAAACACCGTAAAAGCTAGTGACTTATGAAGTATAGTAGAGGGCGCTTAGTGATAAGTGGAGGTCAACAAATATTTGGAATGGGATATATTCGGTTAAAAAAGCAAAATTTTCAAAAACTACTTTTTTGAATCTTCGCTCTTTATTTAATTTTATTTAATAATTAGTAGTTTTTTAGTAAGGCAATTTAATTTTCTAAAATTTTAATTTTTTGTTTTTGATATTTTTTAATTTTTACCATTTGCGTTTTGAAACATTTTTATATTTAAATTTTTTTTTATTTTTTTAAATAAGAATTTTTTTTTGTTTAATTTTGAATTTTAATTTTCAATTTTAACTTTTTAGTAGGATTTTCATGTTTTTTTTAAGTTGTTAGTCAATACTACTTTTTTAGTCTCGAATTTACGATGCCAATGTTGCTTTGATGAGCAGTGATTTAACTGTATGTATACTGTAAAAAAGATATGTAGGTATTTTCCAAAAATGTTTTTGTAATGCTAAAATGTAATCGAAAACTGTTTATGGCGTATACTTTGTTTTGTAAGGGGCTGTGGGGTTTTTGGCTAGTATAGACATATAATTTTCACTGTTTAGGATGGGGCTTGGGGGTAAGCTTTTATGGCTTTATGGTGCTAGCTTTTACGTTACACACACATAAAGAGCTTTATTTATACAGTACGAAATACATACATACGTTTATTAGTATGTACTTGTATGTATGTATATATTGTTTTGATGGAATTTTAACGGTACTTGTCGCATATAATTTTTTTCGAGTTAAGTACATGTTTTTTTTTGTTTGTTCATTGGACATGGACAAGACAGTACAGTGTAAAAAAAAACAGATAGAAACACATAGAAAATAGCGACAGTGGGGAATTTTCAAATTTTTCGTATAATTTATTTTCGAAACAGAGAAGTATTAGGGTATTTGTTGATTTTTTATTGCTAATTTGTTTGTTGAAGTAGATTAAAACACATATACACATATAGAAAGGATAACAAAAACACAGACAATATTGAGAGAAATTTACAAATGTTATACCAATTCACATGAAAATGGCATAAATTTGTAGTGACTTAAGTGATTGCCGCTTACCTTTGAGCGCCTTCTG